AGAGATCAAAGCAGGGTGTGGGGCCCTGGTCAAATCAGCCTGTGCAGGGCCCCGACCCCAGATGCGAGGAAGCTGGCAGCAGATTTGGCAGCTGGGGAGGGAGTGCCAAGCAGCTGCCCGGAGTCGGTAGCAGTGCGGAATCACTGTGGCCACTCTGCCCAGCTCTATGGGTCCCCCCAAGGCATGGGGCCCGGGGTGGCCGCCCCAATTTGCCCCCCCTAGGGATGGCCCTGGGCCTGAGTCTTGGTCTTCTTTAAGCAGAAAAAGTCCAAACTCAACTGTCTCTTTGCTATTCTTCAAAGCTAAAGAAAAGGTACATTATTAGTACCTGACCACAGTGAAACATGGACTTAGGGTGTGTGTGAAGGGACCTAAGCTACCCTCAGATTTCCTGTTCTTTTGGCAGGATAAGCACAAGAGGCAAAACATTGCACAGTCACAAGCAGCCTTTAGTTTTAGTTGCTTCCTACTTACAAGCTGAATGCTCAGTGATTTCCTTTTTGTCTTAATACCCATTCCAAAAGAATCAGCAAATCAGAAATGTCAAAAACCATTAGAATTAAAATACCAATATTTCTGTGAATGTCCCAAGTTTCTATGCAATAAAAACTAAACTCAAGCCTACCACATGAAGTACTGCTTCAGTCTTCTGCAGCTCACTTCGCTTCTGAAAGCTGTGGCTTTTTGTACATCTGTTTATCTCCCTCTTTTGCAAATCAACATTTTATTTCCTTTAGATGCAGCACAGTCTAGTATAGTGGTTCTCAAACTTTTCTACTTTAGAACCACTCAAAAAAACCCAGGCGGAGCTGGGGCCACTCTGGCTGCATTCTTGGGCAAGTTTTGCTTTAAGACAAAATGGCAGCCACTATGCCTGAAAGCACAGGCCATGCTGCTGCCAGTAGGGGCAACAGGCGCTTCCCTCTGCTCCCCCCGGACTCCCCAGCCCCAGTCCCTGGCCTTCCTGTAAAGCTGGCAGCCAAGGAGGCATTCCCTTCACCCATGCCTGGCCCCTAAAATCACTCTGCAGCTCAGCAGGGGCTGGGCTCACACACTGCAGCCTGGTGCTGTCCCTCCATGGGCCTATGGGGTCCCATAACTCCCATGGGGGTTAGAGGGGCCTGGCCCCACACCTCGGGGCCCAGTGCCCCTCCCCCACAGGCCCAAAAGGTCCCTCGGGACCCAGCCCTACACACTATGGCCTAGTGGCCCCCCCACACATGCACACAGCCGCAGCCTGGGCCCCATCAGGCCTCCCACACACTGCTGGCCTGTGCAGCTCAAAAACTTCCTCTGAAGCCAGAGAGGCCCGACCCCACATGCTGCAGCCCAGTGCCCCCCGCACATGGGTCTGCACGGCCCAAACCTGCTCGGGGCCCAGTCCCACACACCAGGGCCCAGTGCCCCCCTCCCCCAACATGCTGCTGGCCCATGCGGCCATAAAATTGCTTCAGAGGGGCACAGTACGCCACTACCTGCCCTTCACCCCTCCCTGGGCCACCCCGCTTCCAAGAGCCCCAGTAGGCTTACCTTTTTCCGGGACCAGAACAAGCTGTGCTAGGGAATCGGAGCAGACTCTGGTAGGGAGGGGAGGGAGGGGCCATGCTGGGGAGGGAAGAGGAGCAGTGCTCTGGTTGGCTGGAACAGGGGGCGCATGTGCCCCCCCCCCCCATCCACCCCACAGCATTGCCTATGACCATCTGCATTAATTGCATATTTCAATCTGTCTCCTAAAATGTAATTTACATACTTGACTTTTAAGATGGTGTGTTATACTAACAAATGGGATCAGACAGTGTCAGCATCCTTAGCTATGAAGGTACAGAGCCATCAGGCCACTAATTACACCTGAGATTGAATGGATGCAATTACCAAAGAATAGAGGAGCTAAAATGGGTACAGTCTCCTGGTTAGGCCCTGCTGCATGCTCCAGCAGACTGGGGAAAAACACTCTTTGAAGAAAGCAAGCAAGGAACTATTGAACAACAAGTAAATGGACTGCTTTCCCCTGAGAAGATTAGGGTTTTTAAACCAAACTTTTC